ATCGTAGCGGTACCAGCAATCCCGAGCGCTGTGCCCGAGCTTGCCGCAGATCTGGCATCGCGGCGCATCCGGGCGCGCTCTGTTGGAGCCACGGTCGCCACCGCCACCGCGTCCCTTCGGGTTGGTGGAGGGGGAACGTCCAGCGCGGATGTTGTTGGAGGAGTTGCCGCCGCCACCAGATCGGGACTTGCCGCGTGAAGCTCCGCCGCGGCGGCCACCACGGCCACGAGAGGCAGCATTAGCGGATGACTTGAAGCCGCCCGCCCCCTGGTAGAGCGCCATGCGCTGGTCAAAGTTGCTGAGCATGGTGAACAGCTCATCTAGGGTGACAGGAGAGGTGCGAGCATCGAGGGCCGACACCAGAGGCTGGTACTCCATGTCCAGGGCGTGAAGGATGTAGGAGACGATCTCGTCGTCTTGCAGCGGCTTGCCGGCCGCGGCGAGTTCATCGGCGAGGCCGCGATGTGGGCGAAGAAGGTGGCGACCGGCTGGGTTCCCTTTTGCGCATGAAGCAGAGCCGTGCGGATGTTGTTGATGCGGCTAAGCGACTGCGAGGAGAACATGGCCGCCAGCGTTGTCCAGAGCGCGTGCGTCGTGGTGATCGCGGTCACCTGCACCAACACCTCTTTGGAGAGATTGTTGAGCAGATAACCGAGAACTTGTTGATCCTCCCGGACCCATATTGGGTGGAGAGGGTTGGGCTCGGTGGAGTCCTTGCCGTCCTTGTCCTTGCCAGGAAGGAAACGGGCCGGCTCCGGCGTGCTGCCGTCGGCATAGCCGAAGACGCCAGCTCCCCTTAGCTGCGGCGTGATCTGGACTCGCCACAGTACGTAGTTCGTACGGGTGAGCTTCTCCGTGACCTGGTTGTTGAGGCCGATCTGGGAGGAGCCGGAGGAAGACATGCTAGGCACTAATGGAGATTGGAAAGCTTAGATGTATTGGAAGAGGGATGCTCTGATTACCATGTGCGATAGGCGGAAAGCGTCTTACCTCGTTGGAGGGGCGCGTTGCATGTTTATATGGCAGGGGCGCACCTCCCTGGATAACAGCGCATACAAGATGTTGTTGAGATTACATGCTTGGAGAACAAGGGATAAGAGAGAGAGGTTCGGTTCAAAGAGATATAGAGATAAGAGATAAGCACCGAAACTACTTAAACATCTATCCGTAGTCTATCTCTACAAGGCTGCGTTTAACAGGGAGGACAGGTGGGTGTATTGTTTACATGGACAACTCAAAACTACGAATACGAAGAATGAG